TTATAGGTTTGTTTACTAGAACTTTGTATATCTTGTATATATTTGATTGAAAAATATATCATAAAATTGGTTATTTTGTATCTCTAATCTCTATTTTTTTTTAGGGGAAAAATTTAATTCATTAAATCATTAGCGAGACATTCCACAAGGAAAAAAAGGAGGGGTATCAAACCACTCTCCGCAACCTGACATAAAAAGGTATCCCCAGCAACAATGTGGGCGGCACGATTCGCAGATCGCCTAACAAAAAGGAATTTGACATCACCAATCAAATATGCTAATTCTTTAATATCGTCTATAAGTAAACCAAAAGCAGAAATAAACGAAGAAATTGAAAAAGAATTAAACAAAAGTTGAGTCTGTTGCCTACTCATTCCGGTATCCCTTAGCCAACTGAGTGCCTCTCTCATGCTAGCCGCCTCAGCTTCTTTAACGTCAAACACACCGGTCATGCACATGTTTTTAGCCGCTAAGAACCGACCATCCTCGTCTCTTAAAACCCATCCAAACCCCATAACATTCTTCGTATGATCGATAGCTGCAGACGTATTAATTTTCATTCTTGCCCTTTGCGGCCTCTTCCAGCGCTCCACCTCACGGAAATTAGGCACACTGCTATGATATCATTTGCTGCTTCCTAACTCTCCCAGAAACTCAAGGCTCTTTGAATTACAATATTAAGGTCGAACTAAACTTCTTTCCACACACTTCCATTTCTACTGCACCACAATCCCCATAAAGTCATAACAAATTTTTTTAATTTGTCATCACACAGACTACTAATCATACCAAAAAACCATTCAGAGATATCATTACCCATAATATTAGGAGGCAGAATATCCCAACATGGTCCAAGCTTTAACAGCTTCACGGCATGCCACAAACAGATGGTAAGCACTTTCATTAACTTCCTTACACATATGACAAATCTGACTACAATCAACATGTCGAGCTATAAGGGCATCCCGGGTAGGCAAATACGTCGAAGTTAGCTGCCAGCAAAATGATTTAACCTTAGGTGGCACACATGGATGGAGCCAAAGGGGGGCAAGGGAGTCAGCTGCCCCCTCACCCCACCCCCACCCCCACCCCCACCCTAGATTACCCCCACCCTATATATAATCTTTGAATGTATATATGTATATATATTACATGTTTGAGTATTAGTATATAAAAACTGTTAATTGTTAATAAGAAATGAGTTAGATTAGTTGGTAGGGCATGTATTTGCTTATAAGGAAGGTTAGGGGTTGAACCCTTTGGTTGTAATATGATTTTACAGTTTTTTTTGGCTCCTTCCTTATGACTTTAACACAGTCACGTTTTAATAGCTTTTTTAATATTTAATACATATATATATATATATATATATATATATATATTCAAATTATTTTATCAAATTAATTATGTTTCATATTTTGTTATGAATATTTTTATAAAGTTTGGATGTGTTTTATTTTTCGCTCATATCCAATAATATTTACACCTATATTTCTTAGATAATTTATTTATTTATTTTTAAAACATTTCTTTTATTTTAATGTTTCGCCTCTACTGAAAAAAATTTCTGAATCTGTTCCTATTTCGCCCCCTCAACAGAATTTCTAGCTCCGTCCTTGGTGGCACATGGAGATTACAAATTTTAGCCCAGGATCGATCATCATGAGTATGGTTCGTGAATCGCGTATATCATGACTTCACCGTATAATCACCATTGTGATTCCAGTGCCAAACCCATGCATCGGTGGCTTACAGATACTAATAAAAAATTTTAAAATTAATTTAGCATCCCGTTTTCCTCAAAAATATCCATAATACACCCCACATCCTAGTACGTACCTTGTGCATTCAATAACAAGCTAAGGCAACCGAAGCATTGAAAATGGACTCGTGCAGCACTGTGTCATCATATGGATACATTAAAACTATTAAAAACAGTAAAACTATTGAATGAACAAGGCAACCGAAGCATTGAAAATGGACTCCTACAGCACTGTGTCAACGTATGGATACATTAAAACTATTAATTATAAAAACAATAAAACTATATCTATTCAAACATATTTTCTCAACCTAATAAAATAAAGAGTCAACAACGCCTCCACTGAATCTCGATCTCATAATCTTCTACATAAGAGAGATTATTACATGTCATCTGAGTAAAAGTGCTTGGCAGAGTAAAATTATCTACACATGTAACTTCTCACATTACTACGGTATATATATATTGAATTTTGTACTTCGACTTTATTTTTGCCTTGACTACTTTCCAAAAGTAAAAGTATCCAGCACATGTAACCATGTGAGTATTGTTATTATATGGCCGCATGTATTATTCAGCTATTGTGTGTGTCTTGACATGCGTTACATGTCCAGTTTATTTAAGTTTTGTTTTTTTACTATACTTATATTTTTTTTGTACATTTTACTTTTAATTTGTATTTTTTATTTAGAGTTAATACCCATTTTGGTCCCTTGACTATTAGGTAATGCGCAATTTAGTCTCATACTATTAAAAGCATCAAATTTAGTCCTCTAACTTGTAAATCATACCCAATTTGGTCCTCTGTTACAATTGTCATCCACTCACCGTTATAGAGAGGGGCAAAAATGTCATTTTATTTAATAGTTGAGAGACCAAAATGGGTATTAACTATTACACTTGTTTACTACTGCTACTACTGCTACTACTGCTACTAGTTAATACCCATTTTGGTCCCTCAATTATTAGATAAAAAGACGTTTTTGCCCCTCTCTATAACGGTGGATGGATACCAATTGTAACGGAGGACGAAATTGTGTATGATTTTACTAGTTAGAGGACTAAATTGAGTACTTTTAATAGTATGGGATTAAATTGTGCATTACCGAATAGTCGAGGGACCAAAATGGGTATTAACTCTTTTTATTTAACTACAAAGCCAATCATATTAACTACTTGCGATAAATGTCGAACAGGCTCCTTTCAAAAAAAAAATATTAACTACTTGCGATAAATGCCGAACAGGCTCCTTTCAAAAAATAAATATTAACTACTTGCGGAATTTGTCGACAAAGAGACTATTCAAAACACACAACAAATTGAAGTGGAAAACTACCTCGTAATGTCTTGTTTGACAATCAGCAGTTAGCAGTTAGCGTTTGCGGATTTGACCAACAAATTATATGAACGGTTGGTAAAAAGATATTTGAAAAAATTAACTGTTTAGATTAACATGTAAAATGACCTAAAGGTATATATATTTAATAATAATAATAATAATAATAATAATAATAATAATAATAATAATAATAATAATAATAATAATAATAATTGTTTTAAAAAATTAAAAATAATAATAATTTAATAAAAAAAATAAAATTTAAAAACTTAAATGGAGAAGTGTCAAATAGGCACATCTACTATTGTCAAGTGCTCAATTTTCACCAAGAACTAAATTAAACGCTAATTAACCACACTTACCTGTTAAATTTGTTCAATTAACTTTTTTTTGCAGGTAATTGATTTTTTTTTGCAGGTTGCTAACAGGTTACCAATTCAATTATTAAAAAAATAATTTAAAAATTAAAAAAAAAAAAAACGGAATTTCAGTCGCCCGCCGTCCGGCGAGGACAACCGGTTTAATTATTTTTTTAATAATTGAATTGGTAACCTGTTAGGAACCTGCAAAAAAAAAAAAAAAGTCAATTGAACAAATTTAGCAGATAAGTGTGGTTAATTAGCCTTTAATTTAATTCATGGTGGAAATTGAGCACTTGGCAGTAGTAGATGGGTATATTTGACACTTCTCCCAAAAATAAATAAAACATATGGGAAGCCAAATGTTCGGGTTACATTATATTTACCAACCGTCCAATATCTTTGGGTTACATTAATTTAAAATTTTTAAATTTTACTACATCTAAATTCCTTAAATTAGAAATTTCTTTATTTATAATAATTCATTCAACAATAATGGTTGAACTAAATGAACACAGAGCAAAACACTTAAAGGACTGGTACGGTTGATTCATTCATTGATCTTGTATCAATACAATAATTTTTTTTTTTTTAAAAAGAAAACACACACCATCAGTTTTCAGACTAGCTACTGTTATTATTAAGTAAACAAGTTATGAAAATAAAACAAGATGTACTATTCAAGAACCTTATACAAATATAATAACTATTAATATTTTATTCAATACTTCTACAACAACAGGTGCAAAATATCAACAGGCGCTTGCAAGATCAAGAGTTCATAGTACAACTGAAATCCCAGTCATATATACAACAAGAAAAATCCATAGCTCCCTACACTAAGATTTCAGTCATGTATGAACTTCTCATATATAATCTTGCATTGATATACTTTAAGATCTCAATCATGTATGAACTTCACATATATAATCTTGTATTGATATATTTTCAAATACTTATTTAATTATAAATATTGAATATATATATATATATATATATATATATATATATAAATTTATTCGTGCGATTATTTGACACAAATTTTTACTTAAACATTACATTAATGTTTAGTGTGGAATCTAGATTGTGGAAATATAATAGTGGACAAGCCAAGTATTAATTTATTTGTGTGATGATTTGACAAGTTTTTAAAACATTACATTAGTGTTTACTATGGAAGCTAGATTGTGGAAAATATAATAGTCGTAGGAGGGAGGACCAGTCAAAAAGACTAAAGTTTGAACTTCAAAAGCGATAATATAAGTATTATATTTAAAATGGGCAGATTTTTATATATAAAGTCACTATAATTTATCTTCTTTTAAATATTTATTGTTGGGCTGAACTGAGTGTGAGTGATCTCGGGGTTGGAAATTCAATTTTTTTTTTTTTTTTTTCAAGAAGGTAAAGGCAGAATACCAAAAGCCGTCACAGCGGAAGTTGACTACCCCAAACTGCGAGCATACGTGTACGCTGATGAGAGGGTAAAGTGCGGTATATTCTAAGGAATTTTCTCGTTTTTAAGTAATCCTGACATGTCGGAAGAAGAGCGTTGCAGAGGACGCCCGATCCCAGGTATCGCAAGCCCCACGTTCTTGAGGCCCACCACAGGCTTTGCCGAAACCTGTTTCTGCTTTAATGCCGCACCGCTTTGCCCTCTTGGGATCTCCGCTTCACTGCGACTCATTTCAATCCGGGATTGCATTGCATTTCATAGAGAGAGTAATCTCAAAGCTGCCGTGATTTGATCGGAAGACCGGCGGGATGATGTCCCCAGAGGTTAGCAATACGAGAGGAGGGAAGGAGAGGCGGAGGAGAGGCGGAGATCAGAGTAGGAGCAATAATGGTGATGTGCGTAATGCTAGCCATGGCGGAAATGGGAGTAGGGTTAGAAGTGAGACGATGAGGAAGGTGCTTTTAGGGTTAGGATTCTGGATGCAGGGGTTCAGGTGTTTTCCATGGATGGGTGTCAATTTCTTCCTCAAGGATGGCCTCCGTGTGGACCCCTCCACCCTTCAGATCCTTCAGAGCTCCGCCAATCTTCCCATGGTTGCCAAGCCCTTCTATGGCATCCTCTCCGATTCCATTTACATCTCTGGCCAGCATCGCATACCTTACATTGCCTTTGGAGGTTGGTTATTCACTACCTTTCCTATGGTTTCTGTATTTATTTTACATTTTTATACAAAACAACTCCAGAATAATCCTGTTTTTAAATTTCAAGATGCATAATTTTTGATAAATAGTGTAGCTAGCTGTTACTGGGGATCTATCTTGCAGTTCAGTAGTTAACTGTGAACTACAGAGTAATATAATACCTGCTATAATAGGATTGGAGGCTATTGAATTGCATCTTGCATTATTAGGGTGTGTGTGGTTTGCATATGGGAATCAGAATTGGAATGTGTATCAAATACTTAGGATGGAATGTGAATGATTATCAATAATGCTGTTTGGTTATATATGATCCTATAATGGGAATAAAGATTTAAAAATACAAGAACACAAAATCAAAACAATTGATTTTAATATAAAGACATCCAAAACACCAATATGAACGAAAAAAATTAAAAACACTAATTAAAGGGGATGAGAAGGAATAAGGGAATGAAAGGAGATAATGCCCTTATTTTATTTGGGTATGGGTTTTCCAATTAAGGGGTATTTGAAACCTATAGTAGTGTTCTAGAAATCTATCAACCAAATAATACCAATCACTTTGATACCCATTCCTTAGAGCTAAACCTGTCAACCAAACACACCCTTAGTATAATAATTTGATTGCCTCACATTCACATACAAGCTCTTATTGAAGTTCTAATTGACTACTACTTTTTTGCCCATTGTTAGTTAACTCACAGGATTTATGTTTCCATGCAGCTTTTTTGCAAGCTTTATCGTGGTTTGTTCTTGCACTTCTCTCCTCAACTATCTCGTTTTCTACCATCACCGCATTTCTGCTACTTGGAAACTTGGGTGCTTCAATTGTTGAGGTTGCGAATGATGCCATTGTTGCAGAGATAGGAAAACAACCCAGTCCTTCATCCACTTCATCAGGCGAGCTTCAGTCTTTTGTTTGGATGGCAGCTTCCCTTGGTGGAATTCTTGGAAACCTTTTAGTTGGTATTGTCATCAATAGAATTTCCGCTCAAGATATGTTCAGTCTGTTCGGTGTTCTGCTCTCTCTCCAGTTCCTGGTGACTGTTTTTATCAAGGAGAGCACTCTAGACCTCCCCAAAAGTATGTCTAATCATCACGGGATCAAAAAACAGCTCTCAGAACTTGTGGTTGCGCTGAAGAAACCAGAAATCTCTTACTCCATAGCTTGGTTTGCCGCGTCGTTTGCAGCAGTTCCTGCTCTAACAGGGACCATGTTCTACTACCAAACACAACACTTGAAGATTGAGACCTCAGTACTGGGTATTTCTAAAGTGTTTGGACAGATAATGATGCTTTTGTGGGGCATTATCTATGACAAACACCTTAAGTCAATCTCACCAAGGAAGCTAATAGCTGGAATTCAGGTGTTAATGGCAGTTCTAATGTTATCGGACATGCTGTTTGTGAAAGGTGTATATGGGAGGCTAGGAATTCCAGAGTCTTTGTACGTTGTGATTTTCTCAGGCTTCTTGGAGATGCTATGTTTTTTCAAGATTCTCCCGTTCAGCGTTTTAATGGCGCAGCTTTGCCCACCGGGGTGCGAAGGATCTGTAATGGCGTTTCTCATGTCTGCTGTAGCTCTTGCCATGGTAGTAAGTGGGTATCTTGGGGTTGCCTTGGCATCGCATGTCAAGGTTACATCAGGAAATGATTTCTCAGGCTTTCCATCTGGTCTTTTGATACAAGCAGCATCAACACTTGTACCACTTGTTTGTTCATCATTTATACCAGACGGCCCAAAGCCAAAAACCAGCTAGTTTTTTATTTAATCAAGGAATTATTCAAATACTTGATCATCCTGTAATTTGTTTAGTTGTAGTGATTTGTTGTTGTACAATTTTTGAGGGTTAAATCAATACCAACTAAAAAAATTTAAATTTTTGGCTCAATTGCTTTGTGGTTTTGAATCCAAAATTGAACAGAACAGGTAAGCTCAGTCAGTCAGTCTAGAGTGCTAGTAATTAAAACAAATGTGGCTATCAATCAATCAAAGGTGTATAAATATGAAATCCTCAATTCATTTGAATTTTGTTTATCACATATCATGTAACCACCACTGAAGGAATTGGAAGTTATGAAATAGTAGTGTTGTTTTAAAGAGAATGAAGACGACTTGAATTGCTCACAACTTTGTCAAATATTGCACCTTTTACTGACTGGAAAGGTGAGGCGTTTCTTCAACTCAATTTAATAGAAGCAAAAGATGCAGCCAAATCCATTGCCTCGTCTACATGTTTCAGGTCCGATGCCTGGAAAAGTTTGGTATGCACAGAAGTCACATGAAAATTAACAAGGCAATGAAAGATGTGATTGAAAGTTTGCTTCTATCTAGTGTCACCAAACAAACTACTCTAAAGCAAATAGGAATTACGCATGCATGCCCGCATGGATACAACATTTTTTTATATTTTCTTCTCAACATTTTTTACGGGGTTTGAGGCAACACATTACAAAAGAGGCAGTTCAGATAGCTACACAGCCTACACTCCAAAGTGAGGCCGCATACAAACCATGGGACTGCCAGCAAGGCCACCGACAATGGTAATGCACTCCTGTGAGTGTGCACTGCCTGAAAAAGCCATTTCCCCTATTAAAGATCTATAATAGTTACTAAAGCTCTCTCTCCAGTGGGAGAACGCCCCCCCCCCCCCCCCCCCCCCCCGAAGGGTACCTGTGTTCATCCTAATACCCAGCACTGGGGTGAGGAAGGGTACTAGTCATCCAAATTTTCAATTTAGCATATCTTACCAAGGTAGCAAGTGTATTTTTTAAAAACAAAAATTAAATGAAACAGCACTATAATAGACTAGAAGAAGAAACACTGGTAAAACGCTAACCTGTCCTTGAGCAAGGCCACCTTTTCCTCCTCCACCTTTACCACCTAAGGGCTTCAGTGCAGCATTCAGCCACTCTTTTACACTTAATTGTTTGCACACATCACCTTTCTCAGGTACCCCAGCACAGACCAAAACCTTGTTTGCTGCTTCATCTGTGCTGAAAATCAGAACTGCAATCCCCTGTTCCCACAATCAAAGCAGCAAGAATAGGTTAAAGATGCAACACATAATGCTATAGCTCAGTGTTTAATGAACTACAAGTATATAACAACCTTCTGCTCCATGACTTTAACAACTGCATCACGAACTGCAGCTGTATCCAGACCAATACCTAGACGCAAGATACAGTACGCTTTTCCACCTGAAACAGCTGCTTCTGCCATTTCTGAGGCAGCTTTAACAGCGTTAAGTGAATTCTCAGCAGCAATCCTCTTTTTGGCTTGTATAACTCGGGTCTAACAACATAAAACCATAATATCTTATTTTAGCCTTTGCTCTTTTTTCTTCCAATGATTTACTTGAATTCTTAACACAACAAGAAAAATGTACCAAAACAAATAAGAAACCAAACACACCTGAAGCTTTGAGAGTTCACGCTTGAGCTCATCTTTCTTGGCAGCAGGAATTTGTGCCCTCTCCACTGAAGCATTTAATGTAGTCACTTTCTGAAAACAAAGAAGGGGAAGTGGCCGGATCCATAACTCAGTATCTAGGCATAATTTCATCATGAAAGAAATAGTAGAAGTAGCTGGCTAGTTTGGCAAACTAAAATCAAGGGTCAAGTGTGCATGCAATGTTTAAGTTTGCAGCAGAGAAGGCTATTGGGAAGAGACCTTAAACTGGATTTTATATATTTTATTGAACAATAGGCTACAAAACTCAAAATGAGAACTTAGGGATATGGCTGGCCGTCATAATTAGAATGTGTATGTCACAAATAAACATGAAGCTCAGACAAGTCACAAACATCAATAATTTTCACCAACTGCCACAATAACTATATCACAAATGAATTACTACTGCTACTTTTAAACTTATCAGTTGCTGAAGAAAATAAAGATGACAGTGGAAAGAGATCAGAACAACCTGAGTGTGTGTGTACATACATACATACCTCAGTTGTATACATGTATATATATATATATATATATATATATATATATATATATATTATCAGGAAACATCGCTGTTGCTATTTCCAATTATTCCTTTTCTATAGTTCACATGGTATCATGACTAGATTGAGTAATTCATCCCTGGATCTTAATGAAACTTATTGTAAAACACACATGAATATGATTAGAAATCACAGCTACCACTCAAACCTCTCACTTCTGGTGCTATTAAATACAGCTCCTAAACCCCGTGGAAATGAGGAAATTAAACACTAACCTCTTCCAGTAAGCTATCTTCAACACTAGCTGCTTCTTTTATTTTCTTCTCAAGGAAGGATGCCAGTTCAATGGCCTCAAAAGCACGGTTTGTTGTGACAGCAGTAATTCTGCGAATACCTTTTGCAATTCCCTCCTCAGAAACAAGAGCAAATGCCTTGGCCTCACGTGTATTTGAAATATGAGTCCCTGCAAATCCATAAAGTTTACATTGCTAGAAATCTAATGCTCCAGAATGGGGATGGGTGCCACAAGTCATTTATAAAAGAAATATACCACCACAAAGCTCAGCAGATATTGACAACCATTCTTCATTTTCTGGGTCAGCAAGTAGATCACCCACTTTCTTACCAATTGAAACAATCCTAACTGGATCTGGATACACCTGTTTACCAACCAGATAAACAGAAAAGGGCATGAATCACTACTCAAGAGGACTTCTAAAGGGCATTGTCTACCAATCATTACATAAGAGGAACAATTACTACATTATTGAATATTGAAAGCTTACTTCACCAAAAACAGCACGAAGACCTTTTACACGCTTTGCATCAGACAAGGTTGCCTCCTGGGAAGACACATCCATTTCAGCTTTAATCTGCTCATTGACAATGTATTCAATTTTCTGGAGCTCTTCAGGTTTCACAGGCTTCCCTGTTCAAACAGGAAAGTATTAATCTGCTCTTTTTTCAGGGTGTTGTTGTAACTATGAAAATCAACTTACCATGTGAAAAATCAAATCTTAATTTTTCAGGAAGAACAATGGAACCTTTTTGGTCAACATGATCTCCAAGTATTTCCTGCATTAATTATATGTCTTTACTGTGCACCAGATAGTTATAGAATAGTAAGATCTCATTAAATCTATTAGGAGTCAATACCCTCAAAGCAAAATTTAACATGTGTGTACAAGTATGGTTTGGTGCAATGAGTGAACGTCTGTCATAATCAACCTGCTCCATTAATCCAATCAACAAGATGATGTTAAAATAAATAGGAAGGAGTGATTATTAGAGATAGGAAAAGGTTAAGGCTGTAAGAAATGTCACCTTACAAATTACTTTATCACCAATAGAGAATTTCTGATTCTCTCCACTAAATGAACCTATATGAAGAATAAACCCACCAAATATCTGAACATTGTGAACTTGAAATGAGCCAGCAGAGCTTTCAAGTGATCCAGTATCATATATCTACATACACAAGAAAATTCTCAGGTATAAAAATATGTATTTCCAGAAATGGCCAGTCATTTTTTTCCAGTTTTGTTCAGATATTTTTGTTTTTGAACAAAAGTAAAAATTCCATTTAGCATCAACATAGTATTTGCTGAATATCCTACAAAGTTTTTACCTGACCACCTTGCTCAGCGTAAAAACTTGTACTTCCAAGAATTATTGCAACATCATCACCAGTACAAGCACGTTCCAAGAATTCACTTCCTGTGTAAATAGCTTTTATCTCACTCTCATGATCCTGAGACCATAAATTTAAGAGACAAGAAAGAAACATGGTGACAATTTGACATAAACTAAAAAAGAATAGGTAAACCATAACAATGCTATGGAAAATCCCGTTTACGTTCTCCAAAATTCCTGTCTACCCAAATCATATTGTTACAAGCAAAAGATAGCAGGCAGTCAAAAACAATGAAGAAAATCAAAATCATATACAACATAAGTGCATACCTGAAACCAAGTGAACTTAAAAATATCATTTGTTGTTGCAATCCCTTTCTTGTGCAGTGCTGCAGTAGCATCAGCATCCATGACAATAGCACCACCACTAGTCTATTAAATAATTTCAGCACCAAAAATTTAAATAATAATAATAATAATAATAATAATAAACAAAAAGGAAAAACATATCATCAAAGATTTTAATCTTCAAAAACAAATCCAAGAATCCAAGTATCCAACAAAACCTTATTCTGAGCACTTCTTGATCTTTCCCTGGCAACATTCATAGAAGCATTAAAGCCTTCAATATCAACTATTAAGCCTCTTTCTTCTGCCATCAACTGAAATTAGAAAACCATAAAAGGAGAGTCACTCACCTTTTTGTACAAACTAGTAGCTAAAAAGATAAACTAAACCATTGACTAGGCACCTGAGTCAGATCTAAGGGGAAACCGTATGTATCCCACAATACAAATGCATCCTGCACCAAACATTGGATCATAGTAGGATGAATAAGAAGCAAGTATAGTAACTTATTCTACATTTACTAGAAAAATAAGCCTAGAAATAATTAGATTTCAAATATAAGAGTAAACATTAGACATTCAATTAAAATAAAATACTTGCCTGCCCACTAAATAGCTTCCCTTGAACCTCTTGAGCAGCCTTCTTAAATTTCTCAATTCCCTAAAACAAATAAAGCATTACAAACTTGCAAATGTAGAAAGAAACACTGCAAGCTAGCTAGTACTAGCTAAGTAAATAATCCCACTCTATTTTTCCCCTCTTCTGATTTTTGATGGTCATGAATTTGGTGGCAGCAACAATTAAAAGTCAAATTCAATGCAGTCATCTTCATTGAAATAAGAATTCAGCAGGTTTAATACAATAATAAATGATTCAGTATCTCCTCAACTATAGTGCAATGTTACACAAGATATTCCCTGTTTGTATTCACCCAAGACAAAAGTATACTCATACAAGTTATGACAAGTATCCCTGACCCTACTGTGTTCACCCAAAAAAAAAAAAAAAAAAAAAAAAATAATAATAATAATAATAATAATAATAAATTTTAAAAAAATGATAGGATTGCCTTAATATTGATACCATGGTCTGATACACAAAAGCAGAGACTACCCAATATCCGAGGATAGACTAATATTAAGCATCATTTTGAGTTCAGTGAAATCTGTTGCTAAACTCCGAAAAATTAAATCTAAACCAAAATTTGGCCATATGAATGCTACATAAAGACACCTCCAATGAATGCATGAAAATGGGGAACACTATAAAGCTATTGTTACAGAAGTACACAACAACATTCAATTTGTATGATATGAGCACAATAATATAATTCACTAGCATAATACTCCAATCTATTTTATATTTTTATTTCCTTTAATCTTTTGAAGAAAAGTAGCTCACATGAAGCAATGTGTATGATATGAGCACAATAATATAATTCACTAGCATAATACTTCAATCTATTTTATATTTTTATTTCTTTTAAACTTTTGAAGACAAGTAGCTCACATGAAGCAATGTTCTGCCAAAGCTGGCTTCTTCATCAGCAATTATATCCATTATGTGAGCTTCACGTTGTTTTAGCTCTGGGAAAACATCCCCCATCACTTCAGTTACCACCTTTACCAGCCTGTGTTCAGAACAGTATTGATTAGACAGGAGTACACACCATATATAAAATAGGAAACTAGAAGTTACAAAGGGTTTGTATCAATGGTCAGGGAAATGAAAGTAAAACAGTAGTACGAAGAAAGTGTAGCTCAGTATGCAATCCAAGAGATCTAAGCGTGTCATTCCTACCTGCTGAAAAAACCCGGTTGCGCTTTAAGGACTTCAGTACCGTAACGCACTGCTCGACGAAGAATGCGCCGTAGGACATACTCACGACCCTCATTACCTGCAAGGCAAGTATTAAACTGAAACCCACTAGAGCAAGGTTGCAAATATAGCTAGGCGTTCCTCGGGCAACCGGTGAACGCCTAGCGCCTAGGCACCATTTTTTTTAAAAATTTTTAAATTTTTAAAAAAAAAAATTTATGACTTGATAATTATAAACTATTTAATACTTTAGTTAATACTAAAATATTAAATATTAACCTAAAAAACATCTAGAATTGTAAATTGTATAAAGATTTAAAGAATCAAAACACAATTCCACAAAGTCACAACTCACAAAGTATCAATATTAGAGTAGCTGATTTCGATTTTTTTTTTTTTTTTTTAGTGAAATAACCCTTGAAAAAAAAAAAAAAAAAAAAAAAAAAAAAAAAAAAAAACTAATTAGCCACCTAGTCTGCTGCGGCCTAGGCGGCCAGCCGCCTAGAACACCGATTATGGTGAAAATCTAGGCAGTCGGCTGGCCCCTAGCATTTAGACGCCGATTAAGCATAATTTTTGGAACCCTGCACTAGAGAATAAGATCAAATAATGACAATAGCTTCTCTTCCGTGGCACTGATATGTGTATCAAAGTAGTAATGGCTTAGAAAATGGCATTGCTATGTTGACCCTTAGACAAAAAAACTGTATGTAGATGGATTGAATTTTGAAAGCAACATAATAGTAGAAAATCAACCTCGCAACCACAAACTATCAGAAATAAAAAGGCAGAGACAGTTGAAACCAAAACCAGCACATGCACACATCAGAGACCAAACAGCACTCTTAAATAGTTAAATACCAATCCTAACGAGTAGAAAACAGATGCTGGGGGGAAAAGGAGGGGAAAGACAGGGAATGAGCATTCTTAATTTCCATTACCATGTGGCACCCCAACAAGAAATAAAATTAAGAAGAGTATGTACATATGGGAAATCTTTTTAAAAAAGCATGTACCAGAAACCACCTGGAGAAAAAAAAAAAATCTAACAGAATCATGCCAAAAAGTCTTAACTATATGGCCTATACATCACAGCAAACATGTAAAAGAAACTAGGCAATTTCTCTCTTTAAGGAAAAGAATTCTCTGGTGTTAGCTGACAACAGATCCACAAAACGTTAAAGTTTGAAGTTTAATTAACACACACACCCATCTAACGATGAATATCAAATGGATGAACACAACAGACTGCATTCTACCTGGACAAGAACCATCAGCAATAGCAAAGGAAAGAGTTCGAATGTGATCTGCAACAACCCTATAAGCCATGTCAATTTGATCAACATCATCAGAACCAAGTTTCCCTGTGTATGGTCGAGCCCCAGTTATCTACAAAACATTAGAAGAATAATTTAAAAATTAGTAACTGTTGAAAGAAAGGGTATTTGCAAATTCAATTATTGAAAAGGTATGCGCAATGCCCTATTTCTAGCATAGAGTTGTAGGTTTTCTTGAGCTATCACTACTAGGATTAGGGTTTTACATGCAATGCTTCCCCTCAAGTTGAAACATATGCACAATGCTTATCCCAAAAAATTATCAGACGGTATCATGACTAGATTGATGACAACACAAACTGATCAGAATTCATGTTCAACCATGGCGGCGGCGCATGTGATAGATTAGGGTTTCATATTCAACATAAAGGCGTACATGTATGTGCAATGCCCTATTTATGACATAAAGATGTACGTGTCTTGAGTTATCACTACTAGGATAAGGGTTTTACATGCAACACTTCCCCCCAAGTTGGAACATATAGATCATATGCACAGTGCTTATTCCAAACAAAGATCACATGGTATCATGACCAGATTGACTATGACAGAGACAGATCAGAGTTCCTGTTCAACATGGCACCGCATATGGCAGATTAGGGTTTTAGATTCAACAGTAACAACCTTGTAATAAGTGAATTCCAAATGAAATCATAGAGAGAGCAGACTTCAAGAGTCATTGCAAACAAACTTACCCATCCTTCTGAGTTTTTTCACTTCTAGCTAACAATTTTTTTTTCAATTCAGTTTATAGCTTGATTTGGATATGAAAAAAGTCATCAATGAGATGTAATGGAGAAATAGAAAGAGGACAAGTAATCGTCTTCTGGAGAGAATATATAAAAGATTACAAAATAACCAAAATAAAGCCCGACATCCAAAGCCCGACATCCTTTATGAATCCTCTGCTTTTTTGGTATAGAAAAAACTTATTGGTCAAGAGAGAGGACAAGTGATATAGGAGAACTTGCAAATATTGAAAAGGATTACATAAAGGAACAAGTTTGTTAACACTAACAAAGATCACCAACGAATAAAGTTTTTGATTGTTCTACATTTCAAGCCATGAATATCACATCAAAGTAGACATAAATTGATCTACTTCTACCAAGAATAATTTACCTTCTGGTCAGATGTAATTTATGCTGAATAGTTGTGGAAAACACACTACAGTATAAGACTATAATATAATCTGAAATCAGACTCTACATAGATTTGTATCTTAAATGTTAATGCTTTAAATCACATGGTGCAAAGTAAAAATGTTTAAGATAGTTTTGGTGTAAATATGAGAACCTCATTAGAGCTTTAATGAAAGAATATGCATTATTCATCCTAGTTTCAAGGATGCAATTTTATTAATTAATACAGAGTATTTCATTTTTCAACCAAAAAAAAAAAAGCATTCTTTATTTACCTTTTGTATAGCATCAAATATCGGCAGAAAAACATCTGTATCATAATTGCTCATCTTGTTCTGGAGTATTGAAGTTAGTCTTTCAAAACCCAGTCCAGTATCAACATGTTTAGCAGGGAGAGGTTTCAGTGAACCGTCACTTTCTCTGTTGAACTGTAGACAAATGTGTTAAAAAGAACTTAGCAATTATCAAAAGCACAAGTCATGCAACTTTGAGGAATTAGTACCTGAATAAACACAAGGTTCCATATCTCAATGACAGTAGGATCATCATTATTAACCATTGATCCAGCATCACGATTCCCAATTCTATCAAAATGAACTTCAGTGCAGGGTCCGCAAGGTCCAGTGTCTCCCATCTCCCAGAAATTGTCCTACCCAAAGTGGAACAAGGAGAAAAGAATACTAAGATTTTATTTAGTTCAATGTGCAAAATGCCTTCAAGGAGGACATAAAACTTGTCCCTGTAAATATGGAGCAATATTTTTCAACACAAGCTTTTCAGAACACTTTTTCCTTCTCTAAGTAAATACACTCTTCACTCTGGGAGAGTAAATTCCTTCAAATTCATAGTTTATAAATGAAACCAAAACATGTTAATTATGTCCACTATGTTTTATCCTCCAAATATTAAAAAATTTCCTTCTCTAACAGATGGAGAAGGAACTTCACAGCCTTCATAAATTTCTAAAGCTAAGATCCAATACGGAGAATAGCATGCTTGCATGCACATTCAAATTATTGATAATCATCAGCCACCATATTGAAAAGGAAAATATTGGTAAAAACTGTGTGACTAAATAGGAAAAGAAACAAATGTCACTGTTATTACACAAGATCTAAAATATCTAAAAATGAGAAAAAAACACATACTTTACTACCAAAGGGCAAAACACGTTCAGGTGGAAGGAACTTGAGCCAAATATCTCTAGCTTCATTATCAGGTGGAAGGCCATTTTTCTCATCACCCCCAAAATAAGTAGCATAAATCCGAATAGCAGGTAGCTTATATACCTGTCTAGATCAATCACAAAACAAAAGAAACAATATGAAATGCAACTTTCTTTTTTATCATTGTAATAAATAAAATCATAGCAGAACACCAAAGACCAAAGAAAGGAGAAAAGGGAAAAAGAAATTGCAGATCTTAATATCTTATACCAACAGCACCAAGAGAAGTTAACTTGCCTCAGTGAGAAGTTCCCAGGCCCACTGAATTGCCTCTGTTTTAAAATAATCACCAAAGGACCAATTTCCAAGCATCTCAAAGAAAGTGTGGTGATAAGTGTCCTTGCCAACATCATCAAGATCATTGTGCTTGCCACCAGCTCTAATGCACTTCTGGGTGTCACAAGCACGCTTCAGTTTGCTCAATTCAGTGTTTGGATCAACTGTTCCTAAGAAGATGGGCTTAAACTGATTCATACCTGCAATTAAAATTAATTTGTTTTTAGAAATATGCAACATTTTAGAAATTGCATATTTTTTGTCCACAGTGGATGTTAGTGCAAAGAAGTCTGAAATATACACTATTAGCACACCGTTAATTGGACACAGCTGCAAGCTCACAGAGAGAGAGATAAACGGAAAACTCAATAAACAACACATTTGCAAATAATAAACACGAATATATATAATAGTGAGTTGAAAATCGAACCAGCATTAGCGAAGAGGAGGGTAGGATCATTGACAGGAACAACGGGGCTTGACTTGACGCAGGTGTGAGCCTTGCTTTCGAAGAACTTGATGAAAGTGTCCCGGACCTTGCTGGACGGCCACTCCAATCCCGCCATCTCTTGCTGCTGCTGAGAGACCACAGATGGGATAGAAGTCGATGGCGATGGAGAGAAATGGCGTCGTCGGAGAAGAGTATCTAACGGCGGCACTGCGGCGGCGTAGGTAGGGTAGTGAGAAGAGGAAGACGGCGGAGGCGCTCTGGCGAAATTTAATACTCTTCTGCCAACTGGTGAAGCCAAAGCAAAACGGAGGCAGCTATAGCTTCCTACGGTGTAAACCCTCATCCATCCCTCGCCCTTCTTAAGTCGATTACGTCTTATTTATTTATATATAAAGATATATAAGATATAAGATACGGAGTACTTCCTCTATCCCACTTTTTTATGTGTTATTTCAAAGTTTATTATACATTCTTTGCCTTTTGTTACACTCTCATTCGAAGAAGGGATCTATTTTCTTTTCTAAGTTAGTGTTGTGAATCCACAACTTTGAGGTATGTTAATGAAGTTAGGCTGAAGTTATGTTTAATCTAATTTTTTTATAATATTAAATTTAGTATTAGTATAAAAGTTTATATATTTATAAATTACACTAAAAATATTATTAAACACAATAAAATTAAATTTAAAAATAAATAAAAATATACTAAAGAAATAAATAATGAAGAAAGAATTTATTTGACTAATGAATAATAAGTAGGACAGATAAAGTATAAGATGATTATTATTATTGGCCATTAAAAAAACAGAATTTCAAACCTAATTTTGACTACATTTTTTATATTATTATAATCAGACATTAAAAAAAATAAAAATAAAAAAATTCAAACCTAATTTTGACTACATTTTTACAATTTTTTTTGAAAGTAGCATTGATTTCATGTGACCTCCTATTTGGGAGAACAATAATTATACCGTTTGATAAGAAGGTCTTCGTCAAATTTTATAATACCTAATTTTGACTAAATTTTATAATTTCCATAATCCATACCATTATAATATAGGGATAAAGTCAAAAGAGACATTCAAAATATTATCAGAATATGAATTGAACTCTCTAATTAAAAAAATAAAATAAAAGTATAAAACCTTCAAATAGATACTTAACTTTTTTTAAAAATACAATTAGACTATCATTCAATAACCAATTAAAATATGTATATATGGCATTGTGTGATTTTAATTACTAATCTTGCATTTTTTAAATTTATAAAATAATTTTTTTTAAAAATAATTTTTCCCTTTCCTTTTGTCGCTAGATTTGCAAACAAAGGAGTCCCTTCTTTGTCTCTACCTAGAAATGGAGAAAATTACAAATTAAAAAATAAATAAAATAAAATTATTTAAGACAACCATGACTACTTTCTTCTCTTCATCTCCAAAGTCTAGAAAATGAAGAAGGTTCTTCTTTTTCATCTCTAAATTTAGAGATAAAGAAAAAATGCGAGGTAGTCATTGGCAAATTTGAAATTTCAAGCTATGTTTACAAATATTTTTTTAAAAAAATTATTCTACATAGGAAAATTCTACAAGATGCAAATTTTTTTACTCCCAAATATAAACTCCCTTAGCTGGCGCTGTCACATCAACTTTTCTTCTTCTTCTTTTTTTTAATTTTTTTTTAAAAAAATAAAGTCTTTTAGTTAAAAAATAAAGTCTTTTAGTTTCTTTCCGGAGAAGATATATTTGGCGCCCAAACACACCCATTTCACTGTTTACTGCTTTTCTCCATTTCATTTTTTCAACAAAGCTTGGGAGATCAGACGAACGCCATTAACATCAAATAGTGCCTGAGAGCCATTAATATCAAAGAAGATTAAATAATGCTTCAGTACTAGGTATGTTTACAATATATGCTATTTCATTTATATTTTAAATTATAAAATTTTATATTTACTGAGAAAGAATACAAAACACTGCAATTAGCATTATGTATTTATTATCCACAAATCAGATGCTATTTGTTCTTAATAAATGAGTTTTGTTGTAACATTACCTATTATTATTGGTTGTATTTTTAGATATGGATGATGAAGAAAAGTTAAATGAACCCAAGGTTGAAATGGTATTTCAATCCATGGAAGAAGTTTTTACATTTTATACAAATTATGCAAAGAAAATGGGATTTGGTGTAGTAACGAAAAGCTCAACACGCGGAGATGATGGAAATTTAAAGCATTTCACTTTTGCATGTGCTAAAGCACATAGAAAAGAATCAACAAGTAAAAATTTGTTATCGTCAAAGCTCTCGACACAAACGAGAAGTCAAGCTAAAATAAGATTCAAAAGGTGTGAAGATGAGAGTTTTAAGATAACAACCGTTGAGCTTAGTCATGATCATGATTTGAGTCCGGGGAAAGCACGTCATTTGAGATGTCATAGGAAGCTAAATGAGCAAGTGAAAAGGAGACTTGATATAAATGATCAATCAGGTATTGCTCCAAACAAGAACTTTCGTTCTCTTATTGTAGATGCAGGAGGTTAAGAGAATGTCACGTTTAATGAAATGGATTGTCGCAATTATATTGATGAATTGAGAATGAAAAGGCTTGGTGTAAGGGATGCAGAAACCGTTTGTAAATATTTTGCTAAAATGCAACAGAGCGATCCAAACTTCTTTTATGTGATGGATGTTACGTTGGTGAAGATTCTCGGTTATGAAATTTGTTTTGGGCTGATGGGAGGAGTAAGGTTGCATATGAATCTTTTGCTGATGTGATTACCTCTGATACAACTAATCTCACAAATAAGTATGACATGCCTTTTGCTCCTTTTGTGGGAGTAAACCACCATGGACAATTTGTATTGTTTGGTTGCGGGTTGTTGAGCACAGAGGACACTAACTTATTTGTATGGTTATTTCAATCTTGGTTAAATTGCATGTCAGGACGCCATCTGAAAGCCATTATTACAGATCAATGTAAGGCCATGCAAAATGCTATTGCGATTGTATTTCCAAATACAAAGCATATGTGGTGTTTATGGCATATCATGAAAAAGCTTCCTGAAAAGTTGAGGGGATATTCTAAATATGAAGAAATAAAGGAAACCTTGCAAAGTGTTGTTTATGATTCTTTAAATGAAAATGAGTTTGAAAATGGATGGTCACTATTGATTGACATCTATGATCTCAATGAGAATGATTGATTAGAGGGGTTATACAAAGAAAGACAACGTTGGGTTCCTACATATGTGAAACATACATTTTGGGCGGGCATGTCATACTACTCAACGAAGTGAAAGCATGAATGCTTTTTTTGATGGATATGTCAACTCTAAGACAACTTTGAAGGTGTTTGTTGAACAATATGAAAAGGCATTGGAAAGTAAAGTAGAGAAGGAGAAAGAAGCATATTTTCATTCTTTTAACTCTATGTATGAATGTCTTAGTAATTATGAGATGGAAAAACAATTTCAAAGATTTTATACAAATGAAAAATTTAGAGAGTTCCAAGATGAGTTAAAGGGAAAATTTTTATTGCTATTATTCTCTAATAAGAGATGAAAATCCAAGTTTTGTATATGAAGTTGTAGAAGATGTAAAAGTTGGAGACAAAAGAAGAGATGTTAAGTTCATGGTTTCTTTTAATGAAGTTGAGTGTGAAGTCAAATGCAATTGCCTCTTGTTTGAATTCAGGGGAATTTTATGTAGACATGCTCTTTTGGTGCTCTTTTGGTGCGCATTTTAAGAAAGGTGAGTGAAATCCCTTCTAGATACATTTTGTCTCGATGGAGAAAAGATTTGAAATGTGGATATACTTGTATTAGAAGTAGTTATAATTTGTCTTGTAAAGAAACTCAAAGATGTGAACAAATGTGTAATGCATTTCGTGAGGTTGCTATTCTTGCCGCAAGTGAAGATGAAAAATATAAGCGTGTGATGGACAGCATAAAAGAGCTAAAATCATCGATCATGAATGATGAAGTAATTAATAGCACCACACAAGCATCATGTTTACCACAAGATAATGAAGTTGACAAGCAAAATATGTCAAGTGGTGCAAATAAGGTTTTAAGTCCATTAGTTACTAGAAGAAAAGGTCGTCCTCCAATTAAAAGAAGAGTTTCAAGGTTGGAACAAGTGGTGGAAAGTCTTAAAAAGAAAAAGAAAAGGAAACAAGTTGAAGAGAAGGATCCAAAGATATCACGGCAAAGACAACTAGACAAGTATGATATGTTTATTAATTAGATTTCATTTGTTTATATTCGATCAAGTATTTTATATTCACTCCTTCACTTATTTAATGTTGTAGAGTTCTATAAGTTATGATGATATTGATTGTGTACCTATTCCATCGTCTCCTCATAAAGTCGATGAAATGGGGACACAAGAAAGTTTTGTAATAACAAGCCCAATGATGCCTTTGCAAGGATTTTACATGGTTCCCCAACACAATGTAAGACATGTTTGCATTACTATGACTATTTAATTTAGCTTTACTTGCTTTATACTTTGTTAAAAAGAATTGTTTGATATTGATAGGTGATTCCGACATCACTAGATGGAGGTCATTATATTCCTTACTCTTCTACTTCAAACAACCAGCTCAATAGTGACATTCAACTTCAAGCTCAAGTATACTTTGTTTTGTATTTATTTATAAGTTATCACTTACACAAATGGTATACTGCTACTTTACTATATATATATATATATATATATATATATATATATATATATGTATATATGTATATATATATATATATATGTATATATGTATGTATATATATATATATATATGTATGTATGTATGTATGTATGTATACATACATACATATATATATATATATATATATGTATGTATGTATACATACATACATACATACATACATATATATATATATATATATATATATATATAGGCAAGATCAGGTGCGACTGTACACTAAGGTGAGGCGGTGATGTCATTTTTCATCCGTTGATCAAGTCCAATCCAACGCACCATAATTGAGATGATTTCGCGCTTCACTTAAAGATCACCGCGACATAGAGGGCAAAATTGTCCATTCGTTCAATTCAAATTGATCACTTCTCCACTTCTGCAAGTAAACACCCCGTCCCATCTGCCTATTCACAATCCCGAAGTCGCGAACCCTCTCCAACTTGCTCCTGCTCCGGCGACGAAAGCTAGGCGAACCACTGCAACGACGAGAAACTTCAACGACGAACAGCAAGGAGACTATAGCCGAACACACCACTGCGTTCTGAGAGGGACACGAACTGTCTTCTACGACACTGATTCGCTACAAAACACACAAATGGCGAACAAAGGCAAACAACGAGCATGCAATGGTATATTTCGTTTATTATTAGTGTATTCTGTAATATTTAACTTCAATGTGTCAACTAACATCTTAACCCTACCATCGCTGTATTCTTTTGAACATTTCATACTAGGGCATCGCATTGCATGTTATTTGTGCATTATAAACATTAATGTAGTGTATATTTCGTTTATTATTGTTGTTTTCTGGTATTTGTGACATGAATATTGGTGAAAAAACTGTTGGGTGTTTAATTTTTGCACACAGTGCATATTTATCTTACCATTGGTGTATTTCATATTATGAATTTGTTGTATCTCGCTACGTGTTGTCTGTCTATGATAAGCATTAATGTGGTGTATATTTCGTTTATTATTGGTGTTTTCTGTAATGTATAATGGTGAGCTGTCGTAGGCTCCCAAATTAAAACCTTACAAACGTAGTAGCGGGAGTAAGGATCGATCCCACGAGGAGTAACTAGTTTAACTTTTGTGCTCAAGGAAATAATGGGGGGTTTGGAAAATAACGAGAATAAAGATTAAGTAAAAGATAATTTAAATAAACAAGAGATTAAATAAATCGAATAAAGCAATGAAACTAATATATTGAAATCACTTATAATAGAAAACCTTGGTTAGTAAAGATCCACCACCGGAATTTAACACTGATCATTGATTAGTAAAGTAATTAATATGCAATTGAATATTTGTCGTGAAATTATTTCATTTCCGTTTTCCCTTAGTTGTAGGTAACTAAAGCACACGCGGTTTAATTACCCCTAACTACTAAATAACCTAAGACAAGCGCTATAGATTTAATTTAATAGCAGCGATAGGAACTAGGAAAACCGACAAACTAAATAACACAAGCACAAGCGGTTGCATTTAATTTAGGAAAATATTCTACCCGAGTCCAATTATCACTAAGCCGTCAATAATTAACCCAGTTGCTACTGAATATTAGAATAATTTGTAGCACAACATTATCTAATATAGCAAATAATCATATCAAGTAAATAACTAGTAGGCCTCCCTAGCAATTAAATGATACAACTATTCAAATAACTTAGTGGAATATTTAATACTCAAATGCATAAAAATATATATAATAAAAATATATAAATAACCTTACAGCGTAATGAATCCGGGGCTTCAGTTTACTAAACCAAGCTAAAGAAATTAGCAACGAATTGACATTGATAACCGCTTTAAAGAATAATCGAGAAGGGAAGAATGAACATTTTTTTAATACTACTCTATCATCTATTTATAGTATTCCCAAAATAGAATTCGTCTATTTCCTACCATTCAATTCCTAATTTTGCGTTATGTCTTGAAGATTTCCGCTGCTGCCTCGCCATACTTTGCGCACGAATTGAAGTCATCTTCTATTTTGGCGCCCACCTGCACAAAAACAAACAAATTAACATTAGGAATAAGCATTATATATATATATATATATATATATATATATATATATATATATATATATATATATATATATATATATATATATGCATTATATGTATTATATGTATTATATATTATATATATTATATATTATATATAAAAGAACTAATTATTAGATAATATTAAATAATTAATGCAAAATTATTATAAAGATGTACCTAAAATATGAGCATAAAATATGCCTATCAAATTCCCCCACACTAAAACATTTGCTTGTTCCCAGGCAAAAATATTATTTGCGAAATAAATAAATAAAATCCCCAAAACTCATAACATATCATGAACAACAATCTGAAGCACCTTGCAATTAATAAGATAACACCCCTGTCTGAAAATTGAGAAAACTAAATAAGTAAGCCCTCACAGGAATATCACTCATCACTCAAGTGTTTGATGGGTATTAATTTCACTCAAGTTCATTCCTATAAAATTGCTCTACCATAGGCTTGCATATCTTCTCAATCACCACTACAAGAGTCATGCATGACACAAATCATAAGGACTTTCCACAGGTTGTAATGGGGCTAGGGTTAAGGTAGGGAATATTTAGGAAAGTAGCTTAAACAAAAGCTTTCAAACTAGAGGAGCAAATAAATACAAATAATCCAAGATACTTGCTCAACACCAAGTATAGAATGCTTCCTCAGTATTACCAGAATTTCCCCTTACTTCATTTATTTAGAAGTAACTTCAACTCAAAATCAATTGCTGATTCTTTCTCATTTTCTCATAAATTTTCAGCAATATTTTTCTTTTTCAAACATATATTCTCCATTTTTCCATTTTTTCATTTTTTCATTTTTTCAATTTCTATATTTTTTTTTTTGGAATCATGAATTGTCTTCGTTTTCTTTTTCATAGAAGACCAGTGACAAATCGGCAATGAAGATACAACCCACCTCATTTTCAATCATACTAACACAAGAAAGTGACCTCCCCCACACTTCTTCCTCACAACCTCACGTAGATTACAAGAATATTTCAAAATTTGCTCCACTAGTTATTCAGCTGGGTGAATGCATTAGTTTTAGATATAAAAGGCTTGTAATGTGGTTCAAAATAAAGAAAAGGATGGCCATAAAGCTCAAAGTGGTTAACAAGGGGAAATAAATCATAGGATAAACCGGTTATTTGGCTAGTGAGGCTCAAGATCAAATAATGGCCTTAATCACACTTGAATCGTGCATGGTCTAATTAACTTTAAAAGAGAATCAAGGCAAGTTCTAGAGAAACAAAATTATGGAAGAAATCGCACAATAGAAAGAAAATAAGACCGAAGTGTCAGTCAATGGCTCAAAACACTCACATGTTTATTGCTTACTTAATATAGCCACTACATATCAAACAGGAAATGCCAACAAACTAATCACAATTTGCCAAACTATTTATTCAATCATATTATGAATTCCAAGA